TATCCGATTGTTTCCCATGCCTAGGAAGGAATATGATGTGGTAGTAGGAATGGATTGGTTGGTAGAAAATAAGGCTAGCATCGTTTGCAGTGAAAAGATGATTAGAATTATGTTACCTGACAAAGGTACAACCGTAATTTATGGTGTTCATTAGGATCATCATACCAGTTTACTGTCTGTGACGAAAGTCAGAAAATGTATCCAAAAGAAATGCCAAGGATTTTAGCCTATATAATTAATGCTAAGAAAGAAAAGAATAAGCAAGAATTAATTCCRATTGTTAGTGAATATCCTGAAGTCTTTCCAGAAGACTTGTTAAGGCTATCTCCAGATAGAGTTATTGAATTTAGGATTGATTTGATACTCAAAGCAACACCTGTAGCTAAAAACACCATATAGATTTGCCCCATCAGAATTGAAAGAATTGGTGACTCAACTAAAGGATCCACTTGACAAGGGTTTTGTTAGGCCAAGTACTTCATCTTGGAGAGCTCCGGTTTTATTTATTAAAAAGAGGGACGGGTCAATGAGAATGTGTATAGATTATCGGGAGCTTAACAAAATGACAGTTAAGAATAAATATCCATTACCCAAGATTGATGATTTATTTGATCAATTAGTTGGGACCATGTTGTGTCACAAGAAGGAATCAAAGTGGATCCATTCAAAATTTGTAAACGAGTTGGACCAGTAGCTTACCAATTGGAGTTACCAGAGGAACTTAGTCTGATTCACAATATATTCCATGTGTCAAACCTAAGGAAATGCCTTGCTGATCCTAGTATGGCAATACTGTGACAACCGTCAAATTTGAAATCTCAGGTTAGCTCTTATTAAGTTTGTATTAGTGTTATTGAAGATAATTTATAAGATTAGGAGTTAGTTAGGTTAGTTTGGTCGAAAATTTTCTAAGAAATTCCGGCAGTTGCTTAAAAAGTCCGGTTCCGACCCGAAATTATCTGAAACGTCCTATACAGTGCCAAATACTCTAATTTATACCCATTTTATATAAAACACTAAGTTTTAGTATTTTAAATATAAAACCTTTCTATTTAAATTAATTTAGTCAAAATTGAGAAAATGACATTTTATGCATTTTGGGCTTTGTTTTTATAAAAAAATTTATTGAGGGTGGGCTTGGACCCTTATGGCCGGCCTCTCCCCCCCCCCCCCCTTTTTCCCTCCTTAGTCCACATATAAATAGATTGATTTTTCATTAAACCTCATTATTCTCCATTCAAAATTCAAAACACCTCTCCTTTCTCTCCCTAAAAACTCAAGAGTCATCTTGAGTTATCATCTTCATCCTTCAACATATTCAGCCGATTTTTCTTCTAATCTTCATCATATTAGCAAGAGTTTGGAAGATAGTACATCCCTTTCATCCACAAAAAAGGTAACATATTCATATCTCTTTCCTTTTCTTGTAAATTTTGGGAGAAAAACCCACTTTTTATGCATTCTTTATCTACTATCTTCT